GCATGCAGAAACTAGATCTGAGTCACTCTACACTGTGTGCATCAAAAGAAAAACACTGTTCAATAGCCTATATTGGAAAGGCACTCTCCTGCTCCATCCTCATCTTCCGCTCCCTTCTCCAGGTTAACAGACTGGCTGCAGACTGCACTGCCCACTGTTAGCACTTTCCTGTGAAGACTGGAAGTTCAGGGAAGCAGCACTGAGAGAGCAGGAGCAAGACTAAATTGCAAGTGCTAGAGAAAGAATTTTACCAAACAGTGCTGTAAAGGTGAAGTGTTACGTCTGGGTAACTGGAAAAAAGTGCTTTCACTTACTCGATCCTCTACTCTTGCAGGTTTCCTCCATGCTGCTAGAGACTGGTCCCCACAGCCTTTTCTCCCCTTTGCTCTGGCAGTTGCAGGTCCTCTGCCCATTGCCCTGCATTGTATGTGAGCACGCCATGGCTCACCACCTGAGCATGGCTGCAGGGGGAGCAGAGATCAGGTTTGTAAAAATGCTTTTACTTATCCCCTAGACATAAACAGGCATTGACCTCATGCAATGCAGGCTTGCAGTGCAGCCCTGTTGCAATGGAGGTAGGCTTTATGAGTCTAGAACATATTGAGGAGATCAACCCATATTTTTCTGTAAATGCAAGGACTTTAAAGGGATAAAATAAGGAGAAACGTACATGTAAGGAAGAGATTAATTGCATATCAGTGGCGTACCTAGCATATCTGGCCAATCATTTTCAACCCCCCCCCCCCCACACACACACACACCTACTGTATACAGCACACATATGCCACAGTACGGCCCCAAAGTGTATAACTTACAGGCAGCTGCACGTAATACAGCCATAAATGATCCCCTCCCGCCTGTACAAATCATCCGGCTCATATTCCCTACAGTGCAAATCACCCCCCCACCCCCAAAGGCCCTGAATAATTTCTTTCAGCCCACCACCTCAGTAAAAATATTCCCCAATACAGATTCCCCCTCAGTACAGACTCCTATCAGTACAGACACCTCCAGTACAGATTCCCCGCAGTACAGACACCCCCTTCCATCCTAACTCCTCAGTACAAACCCCTCATGTATAGTCACTCCTCCTAGCCTAGACCTTCAGTTCAAATGCCAGTACAGACCCCTTCCAGTACAAACTTAGCACAGACAAACCTCAGTACAGACCCTTGCTGTACAGACAACCCCCATTACAGAGCCCCCTACTACTGACACCCCTCAGCACAGAACCTCCCCAGTACAGACTCAGTACAGGACTCCCCCCCATTAGTACAGACCCCCCCCCCCAGTACAGACCCCCCTGAGTACAGACACCCTCCCTTCCAATAGAGACTCCCCTCAGTAGTACAGACAACCCCTAATACAGACTCCCCTAGGAGGCTGGAGTGCATCTGGAGACAGTTTACAGAGCAGGCTGCAGGGGACCAGTCACTGTGCTAGAGGGAGCCTGCTGAAGCAAGGAGTAAGGTAATATTTACTCCTTAAAGCAGAGCTCCACCCAAAAAGGGGAAGTTTAACTTTAAGGACTGCTCCCCCGCTCCTCATTAAGGATTGGCACCTTTGGGGGGGGGGGGGGAGAGCGGGTACCCGAATTTGACAGGTACCCAATCCCACTTCCATTCCGATTGCCTAGGCGACCGGAAGCGGAAGGTGTCCTCCCTCCCTCCCTGTAGTCTTTTGGGACATGTGACAGTTCCCAGAAGACTACAGGACCATTCATGAAGCGCAGCGCTACTCGCGCATGCGCAGTGGGTACCCGGCTGTGAAACCACTAGCTTTCACAGCCGGGTGCCCACACTGAAGATGCCGGCCTCCTAGAATACAGGACAGCTGATGAAACGGGCTGCGGGGGACACACCGCGGGACCGAGGGACAGGTAAGTGGCTGTTTTTTTAAAAGTCAGCAGCTACAGTTTTTGTCTCCAATCTGGTAGTTGCATTCTGCGGAGGAAAGCTTCCTGGAGTAGAACCCACAGGGAAGTAGGGGTCCATCAGGAGACCGACGCTGAGACAGGAGGGCGCCTACTCTCGTCTCAGATGCATCAACCTCGAGGACAAAAGGCAAACCCAGGATTGGGATGAGACAGTATCGGAGCCGAAGCGAAGGCGGATTTCAGAGCTTCGAAAGCTAAGATGGCCTCGGATGACCACTCGTGGGGATTACTGCCCTTCTTGGTCAGATCTGAGAGGGGCTTGGCCAGCGTGGAGAAGTTCCTGATAAACATCTGATAATAGTTGGTGAATCCCAAAAAGCACTGAATGGACTGAAGACCACTGGGTCGAGGCCACTGCAGAACCGCCGAAACCTTCTGAGGATCCATGGAAAATCTCACAGCGGAAATGTAGCCCAAAAAAGGCAACCTGGGATCGGTGAAATTCACACTTCGAGCTTACAGAAAAGCTCGTTCTCACGTAATCGTTGCAGCACTCACTTAACATCCTGGATATGAGACTCCATGGACGCAGAGTAAACCAGGATGTCGTCCAAGTAAACCACGACGCTGTCAGGGCTCCGGGTATGACCAGAGGTATGTGAACTGACGCAGGGAAAGGCAGGCTTCAGATATGTTATAAACAATATAATTTATTAATACTAACAATACATAAACGCAGTGCAATACGAAAACATAACACAGTGCAAACGAACCAAAAACCACCCACAGATAACAATACATACAATGCAAGCGAGTCAGGCAGGCCGGGTCAATAACAATCGGGCAGGTAGGAACAGGAGGAGCAGGCAGAGGGTAGTCAGGTCACGAGCCGGGTACAGCAACTAACGGGCAGGTAGGTACAGGGGGTCAGGCAGAGAATGGTCGGGGTCACAAGCCAGGGATCAAACAGGAGAAGTCAGCAGAGGTCCGGATCAGGCAGGGTCGGCAACAAATCAGTCAGACATTAACAGGAACAGGAACAGGAATGCAGGTAACAAGATACAGGGGCCCATGGAAAAACACACACCAAGGCACAGACTGCAGGTATGGCCATCCCTTAAATACACCTGCAATCAGCCTCAGGTGTTTTGGCTGACTGCAGGGTTGAGTCTCTGATTGCTGAGAGCACCCGCTGGCCAGCCCTGGTACTGCAGCCCACAAGGCAGGTGAGTCCCACCATTATTGGCAAGTCCATTCCTGACAGTACCCCCCCCCCTCAAGGAGCGGCCTCAGGACGCTCCAAACAGTCCTAGCTGGGCAAAATGTTCCACCGCCCGGGTCTGGTAACTGGCGGGATATCAAAGACTGGCACATCGGGCTGGACTCCGGGCAGCGGCACATCGGGCTGGACTCCGGGGGCAGCGGCACATCGGGCTGGACTCCGGGCAGCGGCACATCGGGCTGGACTCCGGGGGCAGCGGCACATCGGGCTGGACTCCGGGCAGCGGCACATCGGGCTGGACGCCGGGCAGCGGCACATCGGGCTGCACGCCGGGCAGAGGCACATCGGGCTGGACTCCGGGCAGAGGCGCAGGGCCCCCAGGAAGAGCGGCAGGCACAGGGCCCCCGGACGGGGGCAGCAGGCACGGGGCCCCCAGGCGGAGCGACAGGCATCGGGCCCCCAGGCGGAGCGGCGGGCACCGGGCCCCCAGGCGGGGCGGCGGGCATGGGGGCCCCCAGGCGGGGCGGCGGGCGCCGGGCCCCCAGGGCGGGGCGGCGGGCTCCGGGCCCCCAGGGGCGGCAGGCACTGCCCCCCCCAGGCGGAGCGGCGGGGCATCAGGCCCCCAGGCGGAGCGGCGGGCGCCGGGCCCCCAGGCGGGGCGGCAGGCACCGGGCCCCCCCCCAGGCGGAGCGACAGGCACCGGGCCCCCAGGTGGAGCGGCGGGCACCAGGCCCCCCAGGGGGCGGCGGGCATGGGGGCCCCAGGCGAGGTGGCGGGCGCCGGGTCCCCAGGCGGAGCGGCGGGGGCGCCGGGCCCCCAGGCGGGGCGGCAGGCTCCAGGCCCCCAGGCGGGGCGGCAGGCACCGGCCCCCCCCGGGCAGAGCGGCGGGCATCAGGCCCCCAGGCGGAGCGGCGGGCACCGGGCCCCCAGGCGGGGCGGCGCCGGGCCCCCAGGCGGAGCGACAGGCACCGGGCCCCCAGGCGGAGCGGCGGGCGCCGGACCCCCAGGAGGGGCGGCGGGCACCGGGCCCCCAGGCGGAGCGGCGGGCATCGGGTCACCAGGCATCAGGTCATTTGGCTCGACAGCGGGCACCACGTCATCTGGCAAGGCAGTGGGCACTGAGTCACCAGGCACGACAGTGGGCTCTGAGTCAATTGGCACGACAGCGGGCACCGGGTCATCAGGTACCGGATCGTCTGGCTCGACAGCAGGCACCGGGTCATCTGGCGCTAGATTCGTCTGGCTCGACAGCGGGCATCGGGTCACCAGGCATGACAGCGGGCACTGGGTCATCAGGCATTGGATCGTCTGGCTCGACAGCAGGCATCGGGTCACCAGGCATGACAGCGGGCACTGGGTCATCAGGCATTGGATTGTCTGGCTCGACAGCGGGCATCGGGTCACCGGGTATGACAGCGGGCACTGGGTCACCAGGCATCAGGTCATTTGGCTCGCCAGCGGGCACCGCGTCATCTGGCAAGGCAGTGGGCACCGAGTCACCAGGCACGACAGTGGGCTCCGAGTCAACTGGCATGACCGCGGGCACTGGGTCAGACACCGGATCGTCTGGCTCGACAGCGGGCATCGGGTCACCAGGCATCAGGTCATTTGGCTCGACAGCGGGCATCGGGTCACCAGGCATGACATCAGGCATGACATCAGGCACTGGGTCATCAGGTACCGGATCGTCTGGATCGACAGCGGGCACCGGGTCATCAGGCATTGGATCGTCTGGCTCGACAGCGGGCATCGGGTCACCAGGCATGACAGCGGGCACCGGGTCATCAGGTCCCGGATCGTCTGGATGACAGCGGGCCATCTGGCGTTGGATCGTCTGGCTCGACAGCGGGCATCGGGTCACCAGGCATGACAGCGGGCACTGGGTCATCAGGCATTGGATCGTCTGGCTCGACAGCAGGCATCGGGTCACCAGGCATCAGGTCATTTGGCTCGACAGCGGGCACCGCGTCATCTGGCAAGGCAGTGGGCACCGAGTCACCAGGCACGACAGTGGGCTCTGAGTCAATTGGCACGACAGCGGGCACCGGGTCATCAGGTACCAGATCGTCTGGCTCGACAGCGGGCATCGGGTCACCAGGCATGACAGCGGGCACTGGGTCATCAGGCATTGGATCGTCTGGCTCGACAGTGGGCATCGGGTCACCAGGTATGACAGCGGGCACTGGGTCATCAGGCGTGATAGGATCATCAGGCTGGATCAGTTCATCAGGCTGGGTACAGACATCAGGCTGGGTAGAGACATCAGGCTGAAGTGCGGGTGCCGAGGCACCAGGCTGAACCACGGAAGGCAGGTTCTCAGATGGCAGGCTCACCGGTTTGGATACTGGCAGGATGGTATTGGTTGGAAAGAATTTTCGCTTTTTTCTGGTTTTAACTACTGGAGCACTGCAAGTAAACGCAGGTCTGCAAACGAATGGAGCAGCTGAGGACAGAGAAGAGCTGGAAGATGGAACAGAGGAGGGAGCAGCCGCCACAGAGGACCTCTCCACAGGGCCAAAGAAAGGATAGGTGCAGCGAGTGGGAGCAGGGGACTGGTATGTGGTAGTTAGCAGAGTATACTGGGCCGTCACTGGGGGTGCTGTCGGGGATGCAGGAAGAGTGCCTTGAGCAGAGGAATGACGTTGCAAGCTGACTGAGGCTGGGTGCAACAAGTCTGACCATGTCTGCAGTATGGGTTGAACAAAGCTGAGCTTACACAAAGCCTGTCTGGTCAAAGACTGCACTGCGTTTATACAATCCCTTAATACCTGTGGTGAACATGCAGCATAATGCTCCAAGAAGCAATCCACATCATCATCCTCTAATAACCATACCAGGGACCCTACCTGGTCTGCACTAAATGGTGGCAAAAAGTCATTCCTGCTTTCAGGGGTACCAGATGAAGCCAACTCTACACAAACCTGAATCAAAGGTTGCACCTCAGAGAACTCTGTGCCCTGATCTACTAGAACATGAGCGATCCGTATACATTCTAGCAGTTGATCCCGGGTATACTCCCTTAGAGTCTGATAAGCATATTCTCTGTCATCAAAAACCAGCAGCGACAAATACACAACCTCATCAAGATCCATCCTTCCCAGCAACAAGCCAAGATGGCTTCCCTGTGCAGCCACTTCTGGTCAGGATTGGCCTTGGTGTAATGTCAGGGCTCCGGGTATGACCAGAGGTATGTGAACTGACGCAGGGAAACGCAGGCTTCAGATATGTTATAAACAATATAATTTATTAATACTAACAATACATAAACGCAGTGCAATACGAAAACATAACACAGTGCAAACGAACCAAACCAAACCACCCACAGATAACAATACATACAATGCAAGCGAGTCAGGCAGGCCGGGTCAATAACAATCGGGCAGGTAGGAACAGGAGGAGCAGGCAGAGGGTAGTCAGGTCACGAGCCGGGTACAGCAACTAACGGGCAGGTAGGTACAGGGGGTCAGGCAGAGAATGGTCGGGGTCACAAGCCAGGGATCAAACAGGAGAAGTCAGCAGAGGTCCGGATCAGGCAGGGTCGGCAACAAATCAGTCAGACAGTAACAGGAACAGGAACAGGAATGCAGGTAACAAGATACAGAGGCCCATGGGAAAAACACACACCAAGGCACAGACTGCAGGTCTGGCCATCCCTTAAATACACCTGCAATCAGCCTCAGGTGTTTTGGCTGACTGCAGGGTTGAGTCTCTGATTGCTGAGAGCACCCGCTGGCCAGCCCTGGTACTGCAGCCCACAAGGCAGGTGAGTCCCACCATTATTGGCAAGTCCATTCATGACACACGCACTGCTGCAACAAGTCACAAAAGACATCATTAATGAACTCCTGAAAGACCGCGGGCGCGTTACACAACCCGAAGGGCATAACCAGGGATTCATAGTGTCTGGTTCTGGCGCTGAACGCGGTCTTCCACTCGTCGCCCTCCTTGATCCGTACCAGGTTGTACGCAGCCCTAAGGTCGAGTTTAGTAAAGACCGTTGCTCCCTTGAGTTAGTCGAACAACTCGGTTATCAACGGAATTGGGTAAGCATTCTTAACCGTGATTCGATTGAGACCTCTAAAATCAATGTAAGGCCTCAATTCACTGCCCTTCTTTTTCACGAAGAAAAAGCCAGCTCCTGCTCGAGAAGTAGACTTACGAATGTGCCCCCGGGAAAGCGCATCCGCATCGTACTCCTCCATGGCCTGATTCTCCGCAACCGAAAGAGGATACACCCTGCCACGTGGAGGAGTGGCACCGGGTTGTAAGGTTATGGCACAATCGTATGGACGATGAGGAGGCAGAGCACTGGCGCGCACCTTGTCAAACACGTCCAGGTACTCCCCATAGTCAGTGGGCAACAAAGAGTCTGAGGAGGCACACAACACCTTAATAGGTCCATGGATGCAACCGGCCCCCACACTGTGGAGACCACGAGAGAATCTCGGCCGACCGCCAATCAACGGTCGGATTGTGCTTCTGAAGCCAGGGATATCCCAAAACCACGGAGTAGTACGGGGAAGAAATTACCTGGAAACAGGCCAACTCCCTGTGAACAGCCCCAATAGCTACTTCCACCGGCAGGGTCTCGTGGGTAACCTGCGGCGGTTGCAGGGGCCTGCCATCTATCGCCTCGAGGACCAATGGAGTAACTCGAGCCTGCAGAGGAATGGATTACTGGGCAGCAAACGAACTGTCCATAAACAACCCGCTAGCACCAGAGTCTACGAACGCCTGGGCCGTCACCGAGCCTTCCGCCCAAGAAAGGACAACGGTGATTAGCGGTTTATCTTTGCGGGAAACCGGGGACAGGGAAACTCCACCCAAGATCTGCCCCTGACAGGATCTCAGGTGCGAGCGTTTCCCAGACGGACCAGACAGGACTGCCGAAAATGCCCACCGAGACCACAGTACAGGCAGTGACCCTCCCAACGCCGAGAGGCCCGCTCCCCCTCGGAAAGGCGAGCAAACCCCAGCTGCATGGGCTCACCGCCAGACAAGCCATCCCCAGGAGGCGTGGGAGGAGAGGGAGGCACGGGTGGGACAGAAAACGTAGGCGCCAATCGGTTAGGAGGCCTCCGCAGACACTCTTTAAGTGAAGGCCTCTCCCTGAGCCTGGTGTCAATCAGGATTAGGAAGCAAATTAGTGCTTTGAGCTCCACAGGCAGTTCTTTGGCTGCAATCTCATCCTTCAACGCATCTGAGAGACCATGAGAGAAAGCAGCCACCAGAGCCTCATTGTTCCAACCCACCTCTGCCGCCAGTTTACGAAATTCTATGGTGTACTCGGCAACAGCTCGTGAACCCTGATGCATGGACATGAGCAGCTTAGCAGCAGAGGCGGAGCGAGCAGGCACATCAAATACCGTACGGAAGGAGGCAACAAAACCGGCAAACTCGTGAATCACAGGGTTATTGTTCTCCCATAAGGGATTTGCCCAGGCCAAGGCCTTGTCCAAGAGCAGCGAGATTAGGAAGCCCACCTTTGACCTCTCAGTAGGAAAAGCGTGGAGTATCAATTCAAAATATATGCCCACTTGGTTAAGGAAACCCTGACACTGACTCGGTTCACCCCCAAAGCGCTGTGGAAGGGAGCTGAACCAGTCATACCTCTGGGCACCACAGGTGCGGAAGCAGATGCGGAGGTAGGCGCAACAACCAGAGCAACAACGGGAGCGACCACAGGAGTGACAACCGGCCTAATAGCACTAGGAGCAAGGTGTGCTGTGCGTGCAAGCAGCGTCTGCAACGCCTGAGCGAACTGAGCCAACAAGAGATCCTGCTGATCAAGTCTGGCAACCAACATAGGGAGCGGGGGCGTACCTGTCAGGATTCATGGCATTCGTGTAGTGTCAGGGAGCGAGGAGCCAGACACACAAGGAGGTGCAATTAAAGGTAGGTTTATTAATATAAAAATAAGACAAGAGTCTATGCAAGTCCAACAATGGAAATCGTAGCCAAAGCCGGGGTCAAGAGCCAGGAAGAATCGTCGCCAGAGCCGGGATCAGGAGCCAGGAAGAATCATCGCCAGAGCCGGGATCAGGAGCCAGGAAGAATCGTCGCCAGAGCCGGGGTCATAAGCCAGGAGGAGTCTTAGCCAAAGCCGAGTCGGTATCCAGGAAAGCAATGAGAAGCTAAACAGGAGCTTGCTGTTGTGCAACAGACAGGACACGAATGCAATGGACAGCCACAAACAGCAGACTTATATGTGATAAGCCGCCACCTCCTGGGGGAGGAGCCGCAGAGGGCTAAAAGCATAAAGGATCCCACAATGCTTTGCAGACACCTAAGATGGATGCCAGCACATGGAGCAGCACAAGGTCTGAGGAAATGTAGGACCTTGACAGCAATGTGTTTAAAATGCTTCAAACATCTCCATCAGGAGCATATGTGAACAGTATCTGTATAGCAAAACCCAGTAGCATAAAATAAAACATTTCCATACAGTTTACTGGAATGGAAATTCTCAAATCCAGCAGGGACAGCCGAGGGACATGAAGATAATAGTCCAAAAGGTGTGATAGATCTCCATTATAATCCTCTACTTGTTTACATCAAAAGCAAAAAGCTTTAAATATAGAGAGCAAGATATTCATGCAAAAATCCAGAAGAGTTCTGGTTTGAAGTTCAAATTCTGCCATTCATATATGACAGCCTTTTTTCAACCAGGGTGCCTTGATGTTTCTACAGGGATGCCTTGGCAAAATGTTGCCCCAAGCTTGTATATAAGCCAGCAGGTGGAACAAGCCAACCTTTTAGTTACACAAAGCCACATGTTTTCATTGTGTGCCATTATGACCTTCTAGCCACTGGCGTCCTGACAACCAATGACACCATCAGTTGATAAGGAGGATGTTGGCTGCCTTCACAGCATCCTTGTTTGAACCTCCCCCACCCTTCTCCGTCAGTGCTGGGTTCACATGATCTCAGTGATGGAGAAAAACTGAAGGAGAAGAAAAACATTGGAAACATTGGAACGTTGGGCGTTCTACATGTATGGATGTTGCTGTGTTCTATAAAACTATTAGAATAATTTTTACATTTTAGAAAGGGGTTCCTCAAGACTGTCCATAATTTTAAAGGGTGCCTTGAGAATTTCCATAATTTTAAAGGGTGCCTTGACTGAAAAAAGTCAAATGTGCCCACCCTTTTTTTAAAAGGAATAGTGCATTGTAAATATTGCAATTTAAAAATTATTAAATCTACGTTTCCCTGTAAAATAGTATTTACTTTTGGCTAATAATAGCCTCCAAAAAAAGGGAGAAAATTGATTTAGCAGATTTGACTTCCACTGACTT